GCACAAGATATCCTTCCTTAATATTTACAGATGGATTTAGATGTTTTTCTGATTCATTTTTTGTATTTTCTGAGCAGCTGCAGAATGTATTTATTGAGAAGGAAAGTGAAATTTACATTTGTAATCCTCATGTTTTGACTTTTAAACAGAAACTTGTCATCAGTTATGTTGTTTCTTGGTAGCTATGATGTAGGTCTTGAGAATATATTAGCTATCACACATTCATTCTGTGTCAAGAGACGTATGGGAAATCAGTTGTACTCGATAATGCAAGAAAGTCTACTTGGCATTATATGGTGGAGATGTTGGGTAGGTTGCAGGATATGTAAAGTGCAATGAAAGTAGAAGTCTATTTATCCCTCCAGAGTGGAAGGAAGATAATCAAGCTTCATTTATATTGGAATATTTTTTTCCCAGTGGGAGGAAAGATTAAAGGCAGTGTAAAGATTCCAACCTGCCAGCACTTTTTTAAAATTTTCAGATGGCTGTTGAGGTTGTTCCAGAAACTTTCCATACTTGGCAGCCTCAGGCAGACTCCAATGGCCCCATTTATGTGAAGAACATGGTACTTTTATGTTATCTTGGATAGGAGTTATGAGCTACTTTTAAGTTCCATTGAAATGTTTATTTTGACTTGGAATGGCTTATTTTAATTCTTAAGCCCATAATTTGGTAGGGAAAAGATATATATTCTTATGCTTCATAGAAAAGTTGAGAAGATTTTACTTGAACAAAAATCATTTGGCATGGTTTATAGCTTAAAGTGAAGAGATGGCTTCAAAACATCTTAGAATTAATTAATTTACTTGCTATAGTTGATAATCTGTATCAAATAGTATTACAACTCATTGCCAGTCTAATTTTGCCTTGTCAGCAAAATTAGATACCAATTACCAAAAATTTCAATATCACCAGATTTAGATCATTTAGAAGTATATTCCAAGTTACCTGTTTATAGATTGTACACAAAACATATACATTAAAAAATCAAGGGTTACAAAATATATTCTACCTATTATTTATGAAATGTGAAAGTTAAACATTGTCAAACTTTCATTAGCTTAATATTCAGTAGGAAGCTGTTGAGAATTTTATGAAATTTAAAGTATCTTAAATTATTTAACTTGTGAAAACATATAAGTATTAGTTTATGTAAAAAAGCTTTTCCCATTTCCTTGGAAGCAACCAAACTTCATTTTCTGTGTCAAAGCTTAATAATTACAAATTATGGTACATGTACTATACTCGATAAATTCCTTATGAAAACAATGGACTCTTCCTTGATCAATTAACTATCCTTGAAACTATCCTCCATGGAAATTGCACTTTGGTAAAAGATTGTTTAAGCAATAGTAAAGTTAAGGCCATAGGGGAAGAGAATCTAGTTACGGGATGTAGACCAGCATAAAAAACTGTTTTTACAATTAACCACTCCTGCATTGGGAGTGGGAACAGGTAATTGTATTTGCAAATAATGGACAACATTGATCTTTACTTTTAGATGTATTCATTTCATAGGACTGCTGTAAAAAAAAAAGTCCCACACAGTGGCCTTCCAACAAAAGAAACTCTTTCTCTTATAATTCTGGTTTCTTCTTTTTTTTTCATTGGATATAGAGCCTTCCTAGTTAACCTGAGATAATTTCATCTCCCTAAGGTCTTTCACTTAATTACCTCTGGAAAGTCTTTTTCTGAACAAGGTCATGTTCATAGGTTTTGGGGAGTTGAAATGTGGGATATCTTTTGAGGGGACACAATTTAATACACTACAACTGATTAGGAGCCTTGTATATATGTTAATGTTCTGGTTTTGATCATTGGGCTGTGATTATCTAAGCTGCTAACACAATATGAGGGAATTTGCATGCATTATTTTCACAATTTTTCAAAGTCTAAAATTATTTCAAAGTGTAAAGTTTTTAAAAAGGCTCTTTCAATTAAGTTCCTTAAACTTAGTAAATCTGGATTTCCAGGGGCGGTGGGGTGGGGGTAGAGGATTGCTAATTACTTATTGCTAATGGTTGCTTGAGGTGAACCTTACACATAATCAGAAATTATATCTCTACTTTTAGTAAAAGAAAGGCAGCACACGATGTGTCTTTTCTTGTCTTGCCATTGCATTGTTAAATAAGAATTGTAAGTCACATTTCAGTTCATGGCTCTTACAGAGGAAAATCTGAGCGAAGTCCCTGTTAGAGTTTGCATGGTGACCCTGGATTCCAAGAGGCTAAGAGGACCACTTCAGTGTGGCACACGTTCCAGCTTTACTAACTCCTTTAAAAGCTTTTTATTGTTTTAGCACTGTTGGAGTCCTAATTGGTGATTCGCATGTTGGTTGTTTTAAATTTTCAGATAACAAGGTTAAACCTTGTGTTTGGAAAAAAACAAAAGATGTTCTCACAATTTTCTTTCCCATACTCAAATTCTAATCTCTAGCTCTGTACTGAAACACAGACTACAAGAAGCTGAACATGTGACCCACAACATACATGATGTGATAAAAAAGAGACAGTGTTTAAATTTTGAAAAGTTATTGCAGTAAAATCCATTGCTATTAATCCCGCTGCTAAGTCCCCTCCAAACACCGTTGTCCTGTCATTCTTGCCATTTTCCATAGCAGTCTTCAAAGTCCTCTTTCTTGAGCATATTTAATTGCACCTGCCATGGCTGCTTCAATGTCCTGAATTGATCCAAAATGTTTACCTTTCATAGTAATTGACTTTGGGGAAAAGCCAGAAGTTGCACAGTGCCAAATCCAGAAAGAAAAAATAAGAGGAGTATGCAAAATAATGTTCATGTGAGCCTGTTTTTCTGTTGCATGATGTTTAGTAGATGCGTTCACTAAATTTTTTTAAATCACATTTTGTAATGACACTCATGAAAGAGAACTTCCAGAACTGCTCCTAAAGTGGCAAAAACAATGGGATAAATGTGTTCAAACAAAGGAGCGGGGGTCATCTTTGAGGAAAGTAATGGCAATGTCTTTTACTATGATTATTTTTTAATTTAAAAGCTCATTATATATTTTGATCACTCTGTGTCCTTAAATTGAGTCTGTAAATGCCTCAAGCTCAGAGTTGGAGACATCAAAATCTTTTTTCACAATGCACATTTTAAGATGCTACTGACAAGAATTTATGAGGACAATTGTTTAAAATTTTATCCTTTAGTGCCCATTTATGAAGGATGATGTGTACTAACTTATGACTGAAACTGAGTTATGTTCACATTTTACATTTGACTATAAATATTGACTTGTGTAAAAATTACTGCTTTCACATTTTGAATCACCTCAATCAAATATTACTTTTGTATTTATTTCTTCTCATAGCATCCTTCTCCTCCGCCTGTAACAGTACCCTGCACGTAGTAGGTGCTAAGTAAATAAACCTTTAGTGAAAAATAAGTGTTTGATAACAGAGAAAAGTTTTTCAAGCTTTCTCCTAGCACAGAAAAGTCTATTTTTAGGGAATGATCAAGCAATTTGTCTTTAGATAACCTTTTAACTAAGATTTGCTGAGTATTTGTGATTTTACAGATATTGTTCAGTGATAGATTGAACATGGGTCTTGAGATAAAGGCTGGGTTAGGACATAGACATATGTGCAAGGCTGGTACTGTTCAGGACTTCTCCTCCCATCATAGGTGTTCAAGACCCTCATCCCTTCGACCTCATGGGTTCTTAAAGTGTGGTGCTTTTGAAGGAATGGGAAAAAGCGTGTGTCTCACGCTATGGGAGGAACCATACATTTTGTGCAGTTGAGAGTGACTACAATTCAGAGACAGGTGAAGGGAAGGACGGGAAGAGAAGTATCCTTTGTGGCACTGATGAGGGACAAAATGGCCCTCGCCCAGGCTGCATGAGCTGCTCTCCTTGAAGGGGAGGCTGAGCTGTCTTTGGGCAAGGACTCAGCTCCAACACAGCTTTCCCCATGGCTCAGTCTTTAGGGGGCCCTGATTCTTTCAACCTCCCTCTCTCCCTGACTCTTGCTAGAGTCCTACCCTTTGTACTGTGTTTTGCCACATTTATTTCCTTCTTTCATAGTAGAACTTACTGGTAAAACATCAACTATCCTTCAAAGTTCCTGGAAGTCAGGAAAAAACCCTTCAAACTCTCTCAGATAGTGTAGGGGTATGCAGCTGCAGCAAAAAAAAAAATGAAGAAAACAGTATTTGCATATTAAAACAAGTTAAAGCATAGAAACTCTCTCTCTCTCTCTCTCTCTCTCTCTCTCTCTCTCTCTCTCTGTGTGTGTGTGTGTTTCTGTCTCTCTCTCTCTGTCTTTCTCTTTTTCTTCCACTTCCTCTCTCCCCTGTCTGTCTTTTTCTGTAAGAAGTTATGTGAGCTTTAGTGGAAGCATATAGTCTAGTCTATGAGAATCAAGACAATGGAGCGAGAGGTGAGCACAGCCTCCCCAAGGGGAAAGGGTTTTGGTGCTGTGCCCCAGCCTTGGGAGATGTGTGAAATACCTGAGAAAGAACTGCAGTTAGAAGAGAGGGGAAGTGAGAGCTTTAGGCAGGCTCTGGCGGGTTGTGGTCACTGAGGATAGGTAATGAGGTGGGGCAGCTGGCAAGGCCCTGGATCGCCATCTGCTGCAGCAGATACGTTAGTGTCTGGGGCTTGATCTTCCAGGCCATGAGAAACTATTACTTGCAACACAGAAATGCCTGTTCCTGCTGTCCTTGTAAATCAATCTGGATGCTAACAGCCAGCCCCACAATAAATATGGGGTCATCCTGCCAAGGAGGACTCACTGGGAGAGGTCAGTGAATGGCCCTCCCTTTCAGATCAAATGACGAGCTCAGCAGGCAAGGTGCTGCCTCCCCTCATCCCTCCCAGCCTGTTTAGTTAATCAATGCTTGTATATCAACATGGAGCTAAAGAAGGGAGGGGGAGATAAATTATTGTTGTTGAGTAAGATGGAGCCTTCAGATGCCTGGAAGCTTAGCCGGAGAAGCAAGGTCTAATTGGCAATTCTCATCCTCTTGGTTTCATCTAGGTGATGAATGGACATGGACTGATGGACACGAGTGACAGGCCTGCTGCCCCCAGCATGATGGACTCTCCTCCCGGCCCACCCACTCCCTCTCCTGGAGAGGAAGAACTGGATTCACTTGTTTCTTTGTTTCCTCTGGCTGTCAGCTAGTGAAAATCTCATTTTACAAAAGGATTAAAAGAATCATCACTTGTCATGTCATGGTGGTCAGAAGAGTGGGTTTAAAGACACAAAAAAAGTTTTTTTGAGAAATAAGTAATCTATTTAGAAGTAAATTAAAAAGGTTAAAATTTATCAGGAGTAGCATTAAACATTCAAGTTTTACCTTTTCCCATGTTACCTGGGGGGATATTTATTCTTTTGGGTCTCACTTTATCTATGCAATCTCCATTTTCAATACATCTGGAGTCTTCCAGGGCTGCCCTGGTGTATTTACTATGGTGAAGCTTCTGTAAATCTCTCCCATTGAAGGGCACAGCAGAAATGGCCTGGCTGAATTATTATGTATGTGAGAGTGAAAACGTCTCACTTGAAGGGCAGAGAAGCAGGGAGTTTCCTGAGGGCATTTCGAAAATGGCAAGCATCTGTAACGGTGATTTCTAAAAGGACATCAAATCTAATTAAAGGCAACGGGCATCACATTAAAGTTGTAAACTATGTACTTGGAATTTCATGTAGCATTCTGCTTGAAATCCTATTTACAAAGTTTAACTGGATGTTTGAATCTGGTCGAGGTGAGAGTTGCTTCTGGACCCCATTTTTAAGGAAAAATCCATCTGTTCCATTTTAGTCACTCCTGCGCTTTCTCTAGGAGAAGTTCTCCCCAGACTCTCCCTACCTTTTCCTGTTGTTAGCTGGGTACCTGGTGCTATGGGCGTTAGGCTGAAGAGAGGGATAATCAGGTTAATGGCTGTCATCCACGGTAGTGGGGTAGGAAGACCAGGAACTGAGACAGATGTTGGCATTTCCGCTTCCCTTTTAGTTTCTTGTCTTTATCTCTTTATAAAAATTCTCCTCCACCGCACAAGTAGCATCCATCAAACTATGTAACAGAGACCTATCTTGTAAGTCATACAAATTTAATAATGATTCTATGGGCTCAGGAATCTCAGATTGTTTTCTTTCTAAGTCAGATAGGAAATTGCCCAGGGGCTGTGATGCTAGGCACTGTCTTTATTTATTTTTAATTTTTATTTTAAAGAGGGTAAAATTAAACAGAACAAAACAGATTCATAAAAAACATTTTAAGAAACCTAGATTTCAAAGCAAGACCACTGGAGATCTTCACTGTCTATCGTATTGTCTCTTGTTTTCTTCCAAATAGTTGTCCACATCTTCGCATACAATGAATTCATACAAAACAAAATAGTATAAAACTGATGAGAACAGGATGATGAAGGCATTTTAAGTCTTTGAGACCATACAATAGGGAAGTCAACAATGGCTGTCATAATATCTCCTGTTCTCTTCAAAATAACTGTCCATACCTTCATGTATGTTGAAATTAAACAAAACAAAACAGACTAAAGTCACTCTGAACAAAGAATAATAGTATTGCTGGATTTCACATCATGATGCTATGGAATCATAGAGATCACTGCCTTCATTTACAGTCTCCTGTCTTAGAATCTTATGTACCTGTGTCTCTATCTGAGATTTGGATCCAGTAATTTTAAATGTGGGAGCCTGGAAATGTGATTTTTTTTTTTTTTGGTACTGGAGATCAAATGCTTGACCACATGCTTGCAAAGCAGGTGCTTATGTCACTGAACTAAATCCATAGCCCTGGAAATGTGAATTTTAAATAGCTATTCCAGGTGATTATCTTAATGTGGTGTGTATTATTTAATATTAATTAGTATTTATTTATTTAATTATTTTACTTGGACATTTCCAAGTGGACACAAAAATATATTAAATTGAGAAATAAAATTCCATGTAGCTATTATCCATTTTCAACAATTATCAATACATTTCATTTTGTCTTTGTCTCTACTAAGTTTTTATTCTTTATATACTTTAAAATGAGTCTACATATCAGGTTATTTCATTAAAAGACATTTAAGTATGGACCTAAAACATACATTTTTCAATTTTTATGGAATTGGTATGGCATGTACCACCTCCCCAAAATAATTCTGTGACCTCAGTTCATACTCAATCTATATTCAGATTTCTCTGATTATATAGAAATGCCTTTATAGTTGACTTGTTTAAATCTGCCCACGTGTAGTCATACATTGTATTTAAATACGGTGATACAGAGTCTCTTTCGTCTCTATTCCAGTGGGGCCTCTGTTTTCTTGATGATATGTAGAGAAATGAGGCCTTTTACAATTTTGAATTGCATAATGAGTTCCTTGCCTGGGAATCTTGTTGAAATGCAGATTTTTGACTCAGTAAATCAGGGGTAAGGCTGAGAGTCTATATTCTTAGCTAAAGCTATAATTCTGAGGTTGAGGTGTCAGAACCACACTTAGACCAGTCTGTGAAAAAGGCCTATCCTTGGTTTTGACTGACAGCTTTGTTTTGCCATATTTGACTTTATTCTCTCCCCCCCCCCCCAAAAAGTAATAAGAACTAAGGAGTAATAAAATCCAAAATGTGTAAATTTTGTTGTAAAAAAGAGAGGAGAAAAAAAAGAGCTCTAACGGATATAACAGCAAGTTTGTTTAGGGGTGTTAAATAGCTGACTATATTAATGTTTTTGGATCATTGAACACAGCTGTTTGCAGTCTCTCTGTTTGAATGTCCACTTTGTATTCTTTGATACTGTGATTTGAGCAACTATTTCTAAGATGATAATATGTAATCTATTAACAGGTGATTTTCTTACTGTTTTTTTTTTTTTTTTGTAGTTCTGTATTACGTGTACCCTTATACCGCTTTGTTTTGTTTTGTGTTTTTCTCTTTTTCCTCTTAAATAAAATTAAAAAAAAAAAAAAAAAAAGGCCCTCTTTCTCCATATGGCTGACTCCATTCCTTGCATTTGTTCCCCTAAACTCTTGTAACTCGATATGAGAGTTAGTTTCAGAGACTTGAGTAAATTTAATTTTTAGAAATTTGGCAAGAAGATTTTTACAGGTGGAAGTATCTACTTACTGCATCAGATAATGTGATACGTAGTGTCCTGTTACTCCATTTTTAGTGATGCTAAGATTGATTGATGAGCTTAGCTTAAAAAATCCAGATGATTATTTTGCGGGGAGGGTGCTGGGTTTAAATCTAGGGCTTCCTATTAACTATGTGCATTATCTCTGAGTTACATTCCTAGCTCAGATTTCAGGTGATCAGATGATTATGACTGAGAAATTTCAAGAATAATAGTGTGAAAACTTTGTTGTAAAAATAAATATTCTGCTTAAAAAACAGTGGCAATATTATCTTGTGGTAAAACACTATTTTGCTTAAATGGCTATGTTTTGACCTGCGCTGTTTTGTTGTTATGCCCTCTTTTTTTTTTTAATCTCAATCTCCTTTTTATTATCTACTTTTTCATTTTTATCCTTTTAATTAAGGAAAAAATAAATAAAAATAGCAGGATATATTATAGTAACCCACTTTGATTTCCTATTAACTTGATTTGAAACTCTGTATTGCTCTCACCATCTTGTTTTGACTGATTTTCCTCTATTCTGTTATGCTTGATAGTACCAAGTTTGAAAGTATAGGCAACAACTATGAAGACAATAAGATTCATTGTGACGCCCATTCTGATGGACTATTATCTTCTTTTGAAGCTCTCTAATGTCTCCAATGTTTTGGTTTTATTGGTCTTATTCTTTACTGTTTTGTTCAATTTTATTATAACTGATGATATAGGCAATTCTTTTTAAGATAACAAGAGGCATTATTTTTAAGATAACAAGAGGCATTGTTGATCACCTTGTATTTTGTTTTTACATTGTGTATTATGTCCATCCTTTTGATTTGACTGACTCTGTCCTGGTATGTTACATTTGGTTTTACTTTCTTCAAAAAAAAAAAAAAAGTAATAAGAACTGTGGGAGTAATAAAACCCAAAATGTGTAATTGTCATGGTACAAAAGAAAGTTCTCTAAAAGATATAACTGCATATATATTTAAGTGTATAAGATAGATAACCACATTACTGAGTTTTGTTGGATCATTGAACAAAACTGTTTGCAGTCTCACTGTTTGAAAGTCCCCTCTATATGCTTTAATTTTGTAACTTCAACAACTATTTCTAAGATGACAATATGTAATTAAGTAGTGATTTCCTACTGTTTATTTTTTCTGAAATTCTGTATAACTTGTACCCTTTTTCTGTTTTTTTTTTCTTTTTTCTCCTTAAGTAAAATTAAAAAAAAAAAAAAAACCAGTGGCAATAGATACTGTTTGTGAAGTGGATGTGCTAGGAATTGTTTTAGTACTTAAAGATATTCAGATAATTTTTTCTGACTATAACCCTCAAAGGTAGATAGATACTGCTATTAGTTTTCTTTTAAAAATGGGGAATAGAATCCTAGAAAATTTTGCTAAGTTGCTCAGGTTCACACAGCTAGTAACTGACAAAATAAGATTCAAAATAGTATTGAAAATAGGATTCAAATAGTAAGTAGATTTATTATTTAGTGAATCTAAATGTACTAAATGGCTATTTACTTAGTAGCTATTTACTGCCTTTCAGTCAAATTATGAATGTCCTGGAGATGAGACGAACCATACTTCTGGTTAAGGCTTATTATAAGGAAGGAATGCAGTTTAAAATCAGCCCAGCAGAGAAGGGAGTCCAGGAAAATTTCAAACGTGAAGGCCCCAGCCATCCTGTCCCCACGAGTGAGGATGGTGCAATTATTCTGGCATCAATGCACTGTGCACTGTGCACAAGGCATAGGGCAGCTCACTTAAGCCCCAGGGTGGACATGACCAACTGTTCATGAGAGCAATCTAAGTTTCCAATAACCAGCCCTTTTGTAACCTGACTGACACTACAGACACCAAGTTCCACCTTAAATCATACTGTCACCACCCGATGTAGCCTTCCCCCACCTTAGACTACCCACTGTGGCCAGCTCCTATATCTGATCTCAGTGGTAGACTATTTCCTGTGACTTGAGGCCAAGAAGTCAAAGCCAATCCCGTTAGAAATGGCGTTCTAAAAGCTTAGTGATTACATCCCAGGAGCCAATAGGAAAGGTCAGGCAAGGCAATCTTAAAATCTTTGCCAAACATTTTTCAGTGTAGCAGAAGGAAAAGTCCTAACCTGCTCATGGCTCCACTTGGAACATCTCAGAGAGCAAGTTCCTATCTCTGAAGGTAGGTCCCATTTCTGGCCTGCTCCATAGTCAGCCCACCAAGCACATGGAGAAAAGAGGAGGCCACAGGGAGGAAGAACTCATCTCACTTTGCGTCTCACTTCTATCAGCACAAAGCACACACATTACACGGTAAACTTCAGGTGAACACTGCAAAATCTGTTTAATAAATTTATTTTCCTCAGAGAGTTCTTGAGATATTAAAGCAAAGAAAACCAATGCTATGCCTGATCTTAGCAAAAATGACAAAATGTAGCTATATTATAAGAAATACTGAGGCTTCAGTGGTTGAGATTATAAAATTAATGAAATGTTGGAATATTAGTTTCCTTTCTGAACCTTCAGGAAGGGTGTGATGCAGATTTTACAACCAGAATTAAAAAGTAATTCAAGGTCACGTACTTCTTTCTCTTGCCTGTGCAGGCTCACTTAATGACCTCAGCCAGACAGCAACCTCTCCTATTAGAGAATCACTCAGGAGAGACTAGGAAGTGAGGTTTTTTGTCATCCTATCAGAGATAATTGCAAAAATGTGCCTTAACCACAGGCCACTGAGGAATATTCTGTCTATTGGAGAGGTAGCATTCTGGCATCCAGATGGGACACTGATCCCAAACATCTGCCTTTGGGTAGAGGATGGAGCTTCGATGATACATCCTTAGCCTACAGAACCCTTGTTTTTTCCTCCTTTATCCTCAGTACCCAAACAGCAGGGCTTGTCCGTGAGCCTTTCAAGGACCCTGCAAATAATGGATTCTCTGTAAACACCTTGCTGTGTACAGGTTAGATTCAATCTGGAAGGCTGTTTTTTAATGGCTCATTATATTAGTTCAGCAACAATTCAGGGCTGCGTAGAGAAAAACAATTGGGCAACATTGAAACAAAATACAGATTCTATTAAGGCCAAAGAGATTAGGAAACAATAGTTGAAATTTCTTCTCAAGGTACCAAACTACACTGAAATAGCAGTCAACTGAGCAGGCAGTATGAAGACCGAGCAAACGATAAAATTCTTTATTATTGAACCAAGAACAAAAGCCAATCCAATCATAAAGCACTGTACCTTTCTTGGTCTTATTTAAAAATCTTTTTGAAAACAGACTTCCAGGGCCAGGAATATTGCTCAGCAGCACAGCGCCTGCCTGGCAAGCTTGATGTCCTAAGTTTGATTTCCAGTACCAAAAAACAAAAAACAAAACAAACAAAAAACCTCCAAACTTTTGGCCAGATGTGGCGCTACACACCTGTAATCCCAGCACGTGGGAGGCTGAGACAGGAGGAGAGCTGTATTTGAGGTCAGTGTGAGCTAAAAAGTGAGTTCAAGGGCAGCCTGAACTGCGTAGTGAAATCGTCTTAAAAAATAAGCAAGCAAACATACAAACTTTTGGGGATATAATTTGCATATCACAAACCATATAATTAAAACTTGCAGTTCAGTGGTTTTTGGTATACTACAAAAATGTACAACCTTTACCACACTTAGTTTTAGAACATTCGTAAATTCAGAGTAAATTTTTATCTCTTAATTAACACTTTTCTATCTCCCTATCCCTTCTTCAGCCCTAAGCAGCCACATACCTTACTTTTGTTCCTATGGATTCCACTACTGTGTGCATACCATATGAATATATGCATATGTTTGACTGGCTTCACTTCATATAATGTCTTCAAGGTATAGCTGTGTTATAGCACGTATCAAAGCGTAGTATATGTCACCAATTCTTTATCTATTCATCAGTTGAGGGATATTTGGATTATTGTTCTGCTTCTTGGCTTTTATGAATAATGTCACTATAGATATTACAATACAACCTTTGTGTGAACATAGTCTTTCACTGGTCCGTATATACCTAGGAGTAGAATTGTTGGGTCATATGGTAACTTTTGTCAGTCATTTGAGCAACTTACAGACTCTTTTCCAAAATGGTTGGATCATTTTAATATTCTGATAGCAGGGTTTGAGGATTCTGATCTTTTTCCACATTCTTGTCAACATTAGTCATTTTCCATTGAAAATTATTACAGCTATCCAAGTGGATGTTAAAATGGTCGTTCATTTGTGTGATTTGCATTTATCTAATAACTAGTGAATCAGATATCTTTTGCCATAATTTATTAGTCATTTATATATTTTTCTGGTAGAAATCAGTAGTTATTTTATGTTCAGTATTCATTTCTTTTTAAGTCTCATCTGTAAACTGAGGTTGTAATACCCAGTTTCTAGTAGGATTAAATGAAATACTACATAACAACATTTAGTTTGTGCCCAACTCCCGGTTGAT